CACCTGGTGATCTGTCCTGCTGTTTGTGACACACTCCAAACATGCCGCACGTGTCTTTTAATGTAAAGTACGCAAATATGGTTTATGTTTATGGGTATTGTGATGGCAATGCTCCCACAGCCGTTGAAGAATATCACGGCCGTTTTCCGATGCGCCACATTCCAGACCGAAGAGTATTCTCAAACGTGTTTAACAGCTTACGTGAAAATGGTACACTTCTCAGTGCTCACATCACATCTGAACGTAGCGTTGAGAGAAATGTTGAGGAAGAAGAAAATATACTTCAAATGGTACAAAGGAGCCCTACGACTAGTACAAGAAGGGTTTCTGCACGTACTGGTGTTCCTCGGACATGTGTCTGGCGGATACTGCATGACCAACATCTGTACCCATTTCATTCGCAACAAGTACAAAATCTCCATGAAGGAGATGGAGCCACACGTCTACACTTTTGCCAGTGGCTACAGAATAATCGTGAATTGATTCCTGTCATATTTTTCACTGACGAGGCAACATTTACGCGTAATGGCATACATAATACGCGTAACATCCATCGTTAGTCACAAAATAACCCTAACGCCATTGTTGTACAGAATTTCCAAGTTCATTTCTCCGTCAATGTATGGTGTGGCATGATTGATGGAATGCTGATTGCTCCTGTTTTTCCAAATCATATGACAGGACAGAGTTACCTCGACTTTTTACAAAATACGCTTCCACAATAGCTAGAAAATATTTCCCTGGCTACACGAAGAACAATGTATTTTCAGCACGACGAAGCACCTCCTCATAACACATCTTGTGAGAGAACACTTAAATGCAATGTTTCCACATCGGCCGCGATGGAACAGTACAGTGGCTACCAAGATCACCCGACCTAACTCCCTTGGATTTCTGCTTGTGGGGTTGGTTAAAGTGCGAGGTGTATAAAACTAAAGTGAATACATGAGATGAACTTATTGCACGTGTAATAGCCGTTGTTGACCAAATTAGGGGCCGTGAAGATGTCCTCCGGCGCGCAACCTGCCACGTTCTCATAAGATGTAACAAATATATCGAAGTACGGAACGAAATATTCGAAAATTTGTTATGATAGATGTATTACAATGTAATTGCAGTAAACTTCAACTCATATTAGATAATTTCGACATGTAATTTAACATAGCTGTATCTCGGAAACCATTAATAAACGACACCATGTTTATATAACATTTTTGCCTTATATTACCTCATTCTATAACCCCACGAAATATTGACCTTTCCTTCCGGGACATCCTGTATATCTTCGTTTGTTATTATATCATATATAGACATATACACACATAGAAGCTCAAATACTTTTCATCATCAAAATCTATCCAAATGAAATATTGTATACATACACACACACACACACACACATGCACACGTATACGCACACGCCACACGCCTATGCGCGCGCGCACACACATTTCTCACAATATCTGGTTATGAACCGTGAAACATCCGGCAAAGATGCATATTTGGAGCTGCTTTTGTAACCAAAGATGTCGAATTTTACCTCTAATTACAGAGAATTTGGATGCGAAAAAGATGGTTAAAATATATCAAAGGACATTAATATCATGTGCTGAAGAATGATTTCCAGATAAAAAACGAAACTGGATTTTGCAAGAAAACAACGATCAAAAACATCGGAGTCGTCTTTACTGCCAATGGAAAGAAAAAAATAACACCGAAACATTAGACCGGCCGTCACAATCACCAGATGCACATCCTATTGAAAATGTTTGGGGATTAATGAAGATAAAGTTACGTGGAGAAAAAATGTACAAGGTGAAACAACCATCTCGGCAGTGTTTGATATGGCGATCTATACTTCGACAGTACGCTGAAAAATTGATAGAAAGTATGTCCAGAAGATATCAGGCAACAATTGACAATGGCGGTAATTGGACGACCTCTTAATATAAAAGCGTTATAGTACTGACTGAATAGTATATATGTAATTTTTTTTTCTTTTTATAGTAAATAACTTAAAAGTTATATCGATCACATTTTTAGTAAACAAACTGTACATATTTAGTAAACAGTATGTACATATATACAGGGTGAGGAAAAAATACAGGAACTCCGAAATATATTGAAAAATATAATTTTTATGAAAAAATGTTTCAAACAAACATTGTAGGGTTTCAAGTAACGCATTACATAGCAATATCAGTATAACCTTGAATAGCGTTGTCAAGGCCACGTGAAGGTCATCTTAACTCCCCCCCGTGGGTGCCACCTTGTCGTGATGGAGGGGGCTTGAAGGTTCCAGTGATGTACAGAGCTGTGCCGGAGGGGGCTTTAGCACCTGGCAAGTCCTATCATGCCGGAGTGGTCTGTACGGAGAGATTGGACCAAGAGCGCCTGATCAAGCTGGTTGATCAGCCTGGTCTCGACTAGATTAGTCATAGAGCGAGTGGGAGGAGAATTATACCCCTGGAGGCATTGCACGCCGGTGCTCCGGTAACTGAAGAGAACGGACCTCTTCCTCACCCGCCCTGGTCTAACCGTTCTGGTCTGGTTGGATGGAGAGACGTACCCATCCAAGTCTCCGCACCGTGGAGGGTTCCTCCTCTCCCCACGGTACCTGGAGTATGGAGGGGTGTTCCGGGCCGTCCGGACATTTCCGAGGCCGGGGCCGGAACACCTTCTGGCGTTCTATAAGAGGATCCCATCCTTAGAGGCATTGCACGCCGGTGCTCCGGCAGCCGAAAAGGGTGGACCTCTTTTTCTCATCTGTCCTGGCCATGGCCAGGCGGAAGGAAAAACCCACACCCGAGTCTGCACACTATGAGAGCTAACCCACTCATGGTACACGGGGGGTGGAGGGGTGTTTCGGGCCGCTCGGACTTATTCCAAGATCGGGGTCGAAACCTTAGGGCGAAAAGGGGAAAGTACCCCATCTTCCAAGGCATTGCACGCCGGTGCTCCGATAGCCGAAGAAGGTGGACTTACCCACTTTCCCTCATTCGTTCGGCCTCGGCCGGACGGAAGGAGGAACTCACATCCAGGTCTGCACACTATGGGGGTAACCCCCTCATGGTACCTGGGGGGTGGAGGGGTGTTCCGGGCCGCTCGGACGTATTCCGAAGTCTGGGTCGGAACACCCTCCTAGCACCAGCTAAGAGGACCGACCCCACCCTTGGAGGTATTGCACGCCGGTGCTCCGGCAGCCGAAGGGGGTGGACCCCTTTCCCTCATCCGTCCCCATTACGGCCAGGCGGAGGGAGGTACCCACACCCGGGTTTGCACGCTATGAGGGTTTGGAAACCCTCATGGTTCTCGAGGGGTGGAAGAGTTTCCGGGCTGCTCGGACGTATTCCAAGGTCAGGACTGGAACACCCTGTGTGCTGTGCCCGAGAAACGGCGATCGCATCGCCCTAAAGCCGGGTCCTCAGGCGGCGTGAGCATGCTGGTCGCCATGAGGGAGGGGGTCGTCAGTGGGGTGCGACACCGATGGTGGCCTTCCTCTTTCCATGGGGCCCCCCGCGTGGCGGCGCCACGTACGGTGCCCACAGGGTCGGAGATGTGGAACCTCCGAAAGCGGTCTGGCCACCAGAAATAGTGGTTAAGGCGTGTGTAGGGGGCTGAAGGCTAGTGCCGGCGATGTTACATTCCGCCGGCCCGAGCCATATGTCGCTTCTCTGGGGGCACTTGGAGATTCCCCTTTCGGGGGGATGCGGGCATGCCCGGGCGACGGATCCGTATGAGGTGGTGGGGTTTAAACTAAAATGACTGAGCTTAATTCTTTAACGGATTTGAACCAAGATAATACGACGGACCTGGCAATACACACGGATAAGAAGAAACTGGAAACTCTCTCCAGTTCCAAGGAAGAGGTGGTAGGAACTATCACTAGGCGATCTGGCACTCGCCGTGTGACAAGAGGAGGAGATACCCGCAGCTCCTCGGCAGAAATGCCAAAAGAGAGGAGAAATACCCGTACCTCTTCACAACTTGGAGCTTCGAAAATATCAACGCCCTCTCCTGAAAAATCCAGGTTAAGAACGCCTACAAGAAGGACGTCTTCAACATCCATATCCCATTAAAGACCTGTGAGCGTAGTGAAGACGTCCAAATGGGACATCCCCACTAAGGAAAATGGGGAAACGGATGAAGAGCGATTCGCTGAAATAGTTCTACGCACCCGTGGGAGACCACCCACCACGAGAGAATATCAAAAGAAAAAGGCGTTCTTAGCGAAGAAAAAGGCTCTTCTTGAAAAGAAAAAGGAAGAGGACCTCCTTCAAAGTTTGGAAAGTCCGGCTGAGTCGCTCAGCGATCTCTGTGAAAACCGGAAATATAAAATTGAGCTGAGGAAGCAAGAGCAACATTTGGAAAAGGCGCCGTCTAGTAACCTGACTGCATCTGTGTTAGATGCAGCTAAACAGGTACTAGGTATCGCAACAAGGTCCGGCAATCTCAAAGGGACCTATATTACGGTCCTAAAAGACGCTGCAGCCGTGATCATGGTCGGAGCGATTCTCTTGGGAAAACGTGTAACAATAGGGGTGGGAGAGAAGGATGAAATACTGGATGAGATAAGGGAAGAGAATAAGAGGCTGAGGAACTCTTATGAAGAGATTAAAAGAGAGATGGAGAGACTCAAGGAGTCCCTCAGGGCATACAAGGAGGTCACAACACCCCAGCCTCCACTTGCCCCTATATATGTTACGGACGAGGAGATAAACAATGCACCTACCAAAAGAAAGAGGGGATCTCCAATTGTGGATGCAGAGAGTGATGAGGAGGTCGACATTGGAATTATTGAGGTGCAGCCTGGTTTAATAAGACCAGGATCAGGGCAGCTTCATCCAACGGAGGTGAAAAAAGTCAGGGCCCGAGACAACGTAAAGCAGGGTCCCAGAATTATCGATAATATCCCGATAAAAACAAGGATAAGGGAGGAAAAAGGAGAAAACAAAGAAGAAGGGATAGCAACAGAAACGCTAGAGTACTGAGTGTCAAACATGGTTTTCGCTGCCATAGAAAAATGGTCGCAGAAAGATAATAGCAGCAACAGACCATCAGCTAAGGAAACCCTAATGGAGAAAACCCTCTCCCAAAGGAAGAAAAGGAAGATAAAGAAGAGGGGAACGAAGAGTGCTATCCAACAGCAGAGCAACAAGTTGCAACAACGACAACCACCCCTCCTCGATGGCAGAAAGTTTCCACCACTCGGTCCTAAACGTGGACCGAAAAAGAGTGATTCCAACACAATTGAAAGTTGGGTGAAAGTGGTGGGAAGAAAACAAAAGAGAAGGGAAAATAAAGAGGAGAAAAAGAGGAAGATCAAAGAAGCTCAGTCGAAACCTGCGGGCGATAATAAGCAAGGAAAGAATGGCAAACCGAAACCAAAGCGCAAAGTACCTAGAACAGCGGCGGTTACAGCGCCGAAAGACGCGTACAAGGAGCTGCTTAAAAAGGTTAAGTCTAACAAGGGGAGGACGCGTCAACCAAGAAACGGTTTGGAACGAAACTTATGGAGTTAATAGTACTTGACTACTAATAAGTCGTGGTAATAGCATTCGATGCAATGACCGTTTTCGAAAAAAAACGGTTTAAAAAAAACCAACAAAGCGTACGTAGAGTTAGTAAGAAGGATATTCAACGAAGCGGTGTAGCGGAGCATCGGAGGTAATGGATTACCGAGCTGACGGCCCGGGTTCGATCCCTGTTGTGGTTTTTTTATGCTGTAAGCATAAAAATAAAAAAGAAAACATTAATAAATAATAAAACTGCGTTTCTTAAATATACTAGTGTTTGTTAAATATATTATTAATGATTTGAATTCCAAAGAAACCGTAAATTTTATCTGTAAAATATATAGTGTATGAGAAAATTTTTATATAATAATTGCAGTGGAAATAGGAGTAAAAATATATTAAGTTGTAATAATAATTATATAAAGATGCAATTGAAAGAACAGTAGTATTAAACAGGGTATTGTATTCATATTATATATTCATATTATGCTTTTTATGTATATAAGATATATATAAACATACAAAGACACATACATATGTTTTTGTATGTTCTTATATATCTTATATACATAAAAACATAATATGAATATATAATATGAATATAATACCCTATTTAATACTACTGTTCTTTATATTGCACCTTTATATCAGGTGTAGTAAAAAGAAATCCATTATTTTTCCAATAGATGGCTTTAGTTATCTGTATCTCGCGTTGTATAAGTCCGATCGGGTTCCACTAGATAGCGTTAGAAAGATGAGATTTCGTACTAAAAAAACTTTTCTGACAGTTTTGTGATTAGTTGACTCAGTTTTGTTTGAGCGCGCGTCAAAGATGGACACTAGCAAAAAGAAAATACGCTATATTTTACAGTTTTTCTTCGATAAAGGCGGAAACGCAAGCCAGGCGGCTGAAAATGTGAATAGTGTTTATGGTCCTGATACTGTAATAGCCAATTACGCGCAATTTTGGTTTCGTCGATTCCGTTCCGGTAATTTCGATGTCAAAGATGCACCACTCACTGGAAGGCCGATTGTCGAAAATATCGATAAAATCATGGACATTGTCGAGTCCGACCGTCATGTAAGCACTGTTTCGATTGCCCAAGAGCTAAAGATTGCACAAAAAACCGTTTGGAACCATTTGAATAAGGCTGGATACAAAAAGAAGCTCGATGTATGGGTGCCACACGAGTTAACGAAAAAAAACCTCATGGACCGAATTTCCATCTGCGAATCGCTGCTGAATCGCAACAAAATCGACCCATTTCTGAAGCGGTTGGTCACTGGTGATGAAAAGTGGATCACTTATGACAACATCAAGCGAAAACGGTCGTGGTCGAATCGCGGTGAGCCGGCGGAAACGGTGGCCAAGCCAGGATTGACGGCCAGGAAGGTTTTGCTGTGTGTTTGGTGGGATTGGCAGGGAATTATCTACTATGAGCTGCTCCCCTACGGCAAAACTCTTAACTCGGAACTGTACTGTGAACAATTGGACCGTCTGAAGGAAGCAATCGCCCAAAAGTGGCCAACTTTGGCCAATAGGAGAGGAACTGTGTTCCATCAGGACAACGCCTGGCCACACACATCGATAGTGACTCGCCAGAAGCTCCGAGAGCTTGGTTGGGAGGTTCTTATGCATCCACCTTATAGTCTGGACCTGGCACCAAGTGATTACTATCTGTTCCTGTCCATGGCGAACAATTTTGCTGGTGAAAAATTCGCTTCAAGAGAGGCTTGTGAAAATCGACTGTCTCAATTTTTTGCCAATAGGGACAAGGGCTTCTATGAGAGAGGCATAATGAAATTACCTTCAAAATGGCAACAAGTTATCGAACAAAACGGCGCATATTTGACCTAAATCGGATCATTCTAACTATGGTAATTAAAGCCTTCAATTTTATGCAAAAATAATGGATTTCTTTTTACTACACCTGATATAATTATTATAACAACTTACTGTATTTTACTCCTATTATTGATTACATAATGATGCAATGATTACATAAAAATTTTCTCATGTACTATATATTTTATAGATAAGATTTACGGTTTCTTTGCAATTCAAATCATTAATAATATATTTAACAAATATTAATATATTTAAGAAACGGTTTTATTATATATTAATGTTTCCTTTTTTATTTTTATGCTTACAAAATAAAAAAAACACAACAGGGATCGAACCCGGGCCGTCAACTCGGTAGTCCGTTACCTCCGATGTTCCGCTACACCGCTTCGTTGAATATCCTTCTTACTAACTCGTACACATGTTGGCTCTTTTTTATTCCGCTTTTCTCGAAAACGAAGAGGCATTGCATCAAATGCTATTATCATGAGTTACTAGTAGTCAAGTACTATTAACTCCGTAAGTTTCATTCCAAATCATTTCTCAGTTGACGCGTCCTCCCCTTGTAAGATAGACGTCAATGCCCTGGGAATCTTTTTTCTTTTGTTAACGCAGAGGAAACCCGTCATGGGTACCCTCCGCCCCCTGGGAGGGGCAGAGGGTTATGTGAGATTCTTAAGCCAGCGGCACACGGTGCTTGTTTTCGTGCTGGATTGCTTGCTGGATAAAAATATTGCGTTCTGATTGGTGCATTTCCATCCATCTTCGGAAGTGTACCAATCAGATCGCAGTATTTTCATCCAGCAAGCAAACCAGCACGAAAACCATATGCCGCTGGCTTAACTGCCTAAAATCTCTGCGGGATGTCTACCAGTCGGACCGAAATGGGGGGAGTCAGGGGAACTGCGCCAGCATTCCCTCCCTGACACCCCGGCCCCAGGGCTCATTCGTTGAGCCCCACGCCCACGTGCCGCGCCCCCTTTTCCGTGAGAACAAGGTTAGGGCGCGGCGCCCCGATCGGCTAGGCCCGATCGGGTTGGCCTTACGGTTACGATTATGGGAGAGAGGGGACATACCTACCCTCCCTCCCCGCCCCTCCCCTTCGAAGTAACCTACTTCGGGGGGGGGAGCGTGGCCCTTTCCCAGAGGGCTTCGCTCCCCCCTTCCATCCTCTACCGACGCGCGGGGGAGCGCGGGCGGGAGTATTTCACCCCCCTCCCGGGATACCTCCCCCGCGCGTCCGAAGTCGGCCCCGAGGCGGCCGAGTGGGAGGTCTCCGGATAACCGGTTGCCGCCCCTCATCGGCCGGCGCCACCTCGGGGCCGCTACTATCTCCCGGGGAGCGCCGCCTTCGACTCCGGCGGCCTCCTTCTCGGACATAACGTCCCTGCAGAAGGAGGCTACCGCCCCCCATGCCTCCTCGCTCCCGCACATGGCACGGACCATACGCGGGAGCGAGAGATCCTCCACTCTGCACCCCATCGCCCGGACCAGGACTCAGTGCTCTTGGCTCCACGCCTCGCATACTACGAGGGTGTGCCGCGCCGAGTCCTCCGGCTCCGGGCAGTGGTGGCACTCGGTGGTGGGTTCCTTTCCTATCCCGTGCAGGTACCTACCGAAGCATCCATGCCCCGTTAGTACCCGCATCAGATGGAAGGAAAGTCCGCGCCCCCTCCTGCCCACCATTTCATTTAGGCAGGGGCGGACAGCCTCGGCCGTCTGGCGACCGAATCCTCGCAGATCGGCCAGTTCGGCCGACCACTTGTCGAGGATCCGATTACCGGCCTGGGTCTTCAAGGCCCTCAGGTCCCTGGCCGATATGCCCTCCTCCCTTTCGCAGAGCTCCCTTATGCGCCAGTAGAGGAGATGCCTCTCTTCGGCGAGGAGCTCCACTGAGGGAGAGCCGGCCAGGGTAGCCGCCACCATGTGTGAGACGGTCGCGTACCTTCGGATCGCCCTCACTAGTACCGGCCGCGTGGCCTAATGCAGCAGGTCCATATTGCGGCGGGTAACTAGGAGTCGGGGCGCCCATATAGGTGCCCCGTATAGGGCGACCGAGAGCACGACGCCCACGTATAGGCGGCGTGCCCGCCATCCAGGGTCCTCCTGGGTCTGCGTCAGGCCGGCCAAGGCCGTGACTATCTTGCGAACCCGGGAGGTTAGGCGCCTGAAATGGGGCCCGAAGTCCCACCGGCTGTCCAACGTCAAGCCCAGATATTTCATCGTGGACATGACGCGGACGCGGACACCGTCCACCAGGACCCGGGCTCGTCGCGGCCTCCCCTGACCCCGTCCATGAAAGAGCATGGCCTGGGTCTTCTGGGGGGCCACTTTGAGCCCGAGGTCTCTGATGGTTCCCACCACCGAGTGTAGAGCTGCCTCCACTTTGAGGCGAGCCTCTCCCCAATCCTCCCCTTCGGCCAACACCAACGTATCGTCTGCGTAGCAAACCACGTGGCAGCCGGGGGGGAGGTTGCCCTGGGAATCTCCAAATTAAATACTAGATAGGAAGTCACGGGCTCTCTGGTATTGGGAATTCCTGGGGAGAAGGGCCAAGAACAGGTAGATGTGTTAACTTTCTTTTTTTTGGTAACGCAGGGGAAATCCATTATGGATACCCTCGACCCGTTGGGGGGGTCGAAGGTTATGTCAGACTCTTACTGACTAAAACCCCTGCGGGATGTCTATCAACCGGACCGTGATGAGGGGAGGGAAACTGCTTCCTCATTCCCTCTCCAAGATGTGTTAGCTGGCAAATTGAGGGAGCTATTTAAGGAAAAGGCAAAGATTAGGCGCCCTCAAAAAATGGGGGAACTCAGAGTTCGAAATTTATAAATCGCCACGACGGAAGAGGAAGTGGCGGAAGTCGTAGCGAAGGAAGGAGGGTGTGATCCTATTGAAGTCAAGACCGCAAAGATGAGGGTCACATCCAACGGTGCCAGATCGCTCTGGGTACAGTGTCCCTTGGCGGCCGCTAAGAGGGCCGCCGAGAAGGGGAAGCTGGCCGTAGGGTGAGCAGAGGCCAGGGTAGAGCTGCTGGACGCTAAGCCCTTATAATAATACAAGTGTTTAGAAAGTGGCCACGTCCAACGACTCTGCACTAGTAATGTAGACCGAAGCAATAATTGCTATCGGTGCGGAAAAGAGGACATAAGGCCCGAAAGTGCTATGCTTCGGCCAAATGCCAACTTTGTGCCGCGGCGGGGATACAGTCCGGACACCGCATGGGGGGCCGGCTTGCCACTCCCCCAAACAAAAGAAGAAGGGGCAAAAAATAGATGAAGTCAAATTGTCTGAAAAAGTGGCACCCTCTGCCCCCACAGTAGAGAAAGAGAAAGAGAAAGGGGAGGTTACTCCCCCCTCCTCCTCCGTCCACTGTCCTTCTCCCTTTAACGCACGAAATGAGGATGAGAACATGGATGTGGAAAAAAGAGGAGAGAAAAGAAAGCGTTCACGGGACGAACACAGCAGTGATGGACGGGAGGAACCGGATGAGAAGGTGGTGATAGTTGACAAGCCATAATGACCACCCGGCTCCTTCCAGCAAACCTGCACCGCGCCCGCCAGGCTCAGCATTTGTTTGAGTACACCCTGGCGGAGCACAGTGCAGGACTAGGCATTGCAGCGGAGCCCTTCCAGGTCCCCCCACCAACCATCCTAGATGGTTTGCGGACAATTTGAGCTCCGCCACAATTATATGGAGATCCAATGCCGACTCCTCCCCTGTCACTTTTATAGGCAGGGGGGACTGCTATGTGATGGCCAGGTGGGGAGGGGCCCTGACAGTGGTCGGGGTCTACCTCCCCCCAGA